TTCTGGGTTTTGAGGCTGCTGTCTATACCTGGTGGGACAAAGCCTGGCCTTAGACAGACGGGGGGGATGTATCCTGGGACCCAGACTGGTCAGCACAGACTAGCTCTGCCACCTCCTGTTCCAGATGGCCCCATTGCACTACTCCCTTTCAGATAGCAGAGTTTGACCCCCACCCCCTTTTACATGAAGGCCAGCTCTGAGAGCCCTAAGCTGAGGACAGAGAAGCTACACCAGAGACCATGACTAGGGGAATATGGGGTGCCACCTGTTTCTAAGGATGAAGCTCCAAGCAAGGCTAGTAAACAACATAGTCTTTTATTTGCCCAATGCCAGCTGTGGCAGGCACTGAGGCCCCAAGACTAGGACCATATTTTTAAATGATATGTGGCAAATGGTCTAATCAAGTTCCTATGTTTGATGTAGCTTATGGCCAGGTCCAGAAAATACAAATGGTTATTTGGGTTTTGCTCTGCCTAAGAGTTAAGGATTTGGGAAATGAGAGAATGTACTGAACTCCAGCCTAAATTCTGACTTTCTGCCCTCCAAGCCTCCAATAGTAGCTTGACCTACATGGTTGGATCTGCCTAGGAGGTGCCTTGTTCTCTTTAGCCTGGGGGGACTGTAATAGGGTATAAGTTTTCAGAGCCTTATGTTATTCTGAACCTATCAAGCAGTTTTAGAGAAAGATCCAGCAGCTAGAGTGGAGGAGACACAGACTTTAAGCTTCCAACCTAATAGGAAATGCATCTCCTTAAACAATACCCACATTTATTGATATATAGCCACACTCAGCTCTCCAAGAGAAATCAGATGTCAAAGATAATGGAGAATTTGTGCCTACACACAGCTTTGCTTTGTTCACTCCTCTCACTTTGCTTCCCTCTTCATATATTACCTCTATTCACATCAACAATGTTGAATAAAATGCTTGTCCATAGGTCCCCCTATTCATAAAGACAAGCTAGTTTTCTCATGCAATTATTCATTGCAAATATACATATAGATGTATATATTATAATATGTTCAGATAGGGAGAGCTTCTTTTTGCCTTTAGCAAACTCTGGTATGCTGCCTGGGGAATTTTCTTATGATTTCATATGGAGTTTTCTTCAATATAGCAGGTATTCTTGTCCTATCAGACAGAAAGCCACGTCCCAGTTGATTCTCCTGGCACTCACCCGTGAACAATCCACACAATATGCTTGACTTTTCCTTTTCTCTGTCCTCGATTTTCATTCACCTGCTCTTATATCAGCACCCCTAATGAATCTCTCAATACCTCAAACCATAACCACAGACTTCTAATTGCTCTTCTTGTCTCCATGATCTCCCACCTCCCACTTCAGACATCATAATACATTCCTTATGTGATAGCTTGGTAAATCTAACACAATAATTTTAAACTGTTAAACTCATCCTTAGGGCAAGTTCTGAATCTTCCCTCTCTTACTAGCTTTATCTCCCATAACATGTATGCAGTCCCACATTACATGAATATTACATGTATACTCACTATGTCTCATGGATGTGTTTCTAAAAATGTTTAAATTCATTGAGTTAAAAAATGCCTGAAAGATTTGTAAGCAAATTTATAAAAACAAATGAAAGGAACTTTAAGGGAAAATATTGTATAAACTGTGACAAATCATGTCCAGGCAACACAATTATTGTTAAGTATGGCTTTATATTTGCCATTTTTCTAAAAGCATGGTTATTTCTAGAGCAGGGGAGAGCCGTTATTTCTTGGTGATCTTTAAGTCCCTATGTGTAAAGTCTCTGTTCTGACACTCTAAGAGGCTGTTTCCTGTACAAGGTCTGTTGATAAAGGAAAACAGACAGCTGTTCAGCTGCTCAGCAGCCTGGGGTGTCTCTGTGGGATGCCTTTGGGAACACAGAAGCTGGATTCCCCTGCTGGGTGTAATTTTATGAGCTCTGTAGGAGAATTTCTTTATGATCTTTTTCTCCCATGTACATAATGTATACAGATGATTGTTCTCAAAACCAATTCTAACGATATATTTAAAAATCCCAAGCCCTAACAATCATAGACTTTTAGAGCCATGTAGGA